ATTAAAATAAATCACTTCATCTAGAAGCCAAACAAACAATTACATGGAGGAACCAGCCAAAAAGGAAACCAAACAGCTTCGTTTGCCAGCCCTTATTAACAGCAAAAATAACACTTTATTTCAATTTCTGAGAGCTCCTTGTTATCACCTGGAAAACAAAACCCAGTCTTGTAGTTTACCACTGAAAATTGTCACAGCAGCAGAGTGACACGCCAGGAGATGAATACTTGGGATTGAATTATCAGGGGTTGTCAGCACCAATTCCAGATCCCAATAATCTCCAAGAGGCTGTGGGTGCCCAGCCCTCAGGAAATCAAAGTTATTAAAGGCTACTTTTATTCCAAAGCCCTGATAAAACCCACACAGAACTCCGGTGGAAATCACAGACTCATTGAGATTGGAAAAGACCTTCAGGATCATTGTCAACCCAGCCCTGCCACCTCTAAACTCCATCTACACATCCTTTAAACACACCCAGGCACGGAGCAGGGAGGATTTGGAGCAAATTTCAGAGCCATGCTAAGCTTTTTTGGTTATTCCATTAAAAAAAAAAAAAACAGAACAAAACCCCAACAAAATCAAAACAACCCACACAAAACACCCCACAGTAAGACCTAACAGCAAAAGCCAGCTCTGATTTATGAATATTTTTGCCAGCCCTGTATTCCAGACCAGCAGGAACTACCTGAAATCCAGATGTGCCTCTTTCAGATGGCACTGGAAAGCCCAGCCAGGTGCTGGATGCAGGAAAAACCATCACAGCCTGCACCCAACAGCTCCAACCCAGTGAAAAAAAATCCCTCTGGGAGATTCTTTGTGTGCTCCAGTACAAAAGGGAGGCACCAAAAGCTCTAAAGTGCTCAGTCATGAGCTGCTTGTTTAACCCCCCCGTGCCAGCCGAGCAGAGCCCTGCTGTATTAATGCAATTGTGAGCAACAAATCTCACTGCTTAATATGCAAATTCCCCGGGTCAGTCTCGCAGAGAAGCACCATGAAAGCATTTATTGTGACTTCCAATTAGCCATGTGATAGCCAGCCCTGCTCAGCACTCCAGGAAAATATTTAAGAAACTGTTGTCCAGTTGCTGAGAGCAGAGGTGGAGCACAATGTTTGCTTTTCTCCGACTTAATGAAGCTCCAGCACTGCATCAAACTCCACGGCAGGAATTGATAGTTGGAATAATCTCCCATCCTGGCAGCTCCATTTCCACTTGGCCCTGCTCTCGCTGCTGGGTGATGGGGGCAGAAAGGAAAGAAGACAAATTTCAAACACAATCAGCATCTTTGCTCCCAAGGAAGGGTGATAAGAGCTGCAGCATGCAGGAGAGCATGGTGTCAAGGGGAGCTCAGCAGCAATCAGACAGCTCCAGCCAAAAGCCTTAATCTGGGATGATTGGTGCTCCCAGGCACTGCATTCCCTGCTTTTCCCTCACTCCACACAAGTCACTGTCTCACTGAGCTTCACCAGGTCAGACAAAGTGATCTGCACCTTCTGAGAGGGGTGAGAGTTTGCCACGAGACAATGAACAGCTTCCTCCTTTTCCTCCTTGGAAAAGAGAGAAGAAATTGAGGAGCCCACCAGGAAGGACCTGCCTGTGGGGATGGCAGCTGGCACAACTGCACATACCTGATGGACAGGCACAAGGGCAGAGCTTTCCAGCACTTAATTCCAAGGCCAAAGCTGTTCCAAAAACACAAGTGGAGAGGTCACACAGCCTGAGAAGTGGCTGCAGAACAATTATTTGTCCCCTGCTCTCACCATCGTGCAGGAACTCGGTCACCTCTGACAGGGCACAGCTGGAAGAGATGCAGAGATGCCTGAAACCTTGGACTGTTAGTGGGAGACAGCTGAAGGGATGAAGTGGGGAAAACCTGAGTTTGTAAAGCAGTTAATGATGTCCTTTAATGACTCCCCAATAAATCCACCCACCACAATTTGGTTCTGCTGGGCTACAACACACCAAGCATCCAGACAGGAACTTTTCCTGTCTGTGCCAAACAACGTCCTGGTGAAATGAAAACTTGCTAAAAAGAGCAGTGCTAATGAAACAGCTGGTACCAATCTGCAAAGCCATTTCATTTCCAGCCTGATGGGCAGAGCAGCATCTGTTAAATTCTTGGTGAGGAGCAGCCTCCTCCTGCTCTGGTCAGTGCAAACAGAGCTGTGCAATAAGCTGGGTTTTGGATTAGCTCCATCTCACACACACCTGAGGATCCACAGCAGCTCTCCTGACACACACACACACACACACACAGGAATCCTGACCTTGAAAAATGCCCAGAGTAAGAGACAAAGGAAGCACACGTGGCCAGGACATGCCGTCAGCTCTGCCAAGCTGCACACGAGTAACGGGAAGTGCTGGCCATGGACAAAAACACCGAGGAGAATACAGGGATGTGACAAATCCTCCTCTCCACTCCACTGACACAATTGAGCACGATTTTGCCACTCCCCACTGCCCTGGAATAAATTGAAACTGGGATGAATCAGACTTGAGAGCTGGCTCCTACTTTCACCCAGCATCGTACACGGTCACTGCTGTCTAACCAAGCTCTCGCAATTCTCCAGGAAACTTTTCCATTCCGGGGAAAAGACAAAGCCTCTCCAAAACAAGCCCACCACTGGCAAGTTGGAATCATCACGTTCCAAAAGACCTTCCTAGGATTTCGAAACGTTCTGGCCCTGCTCACTGACAGCAATGTGACAGCGAATGTAGTGGGGTTAGGTCACAACTCCAAGCAGAGCTGGAGGAAACGAGCCTCACTTGGGGAGCAGGAAAAACTCATCTCTCTGCACAGCTCCAAACTCCAAATCGTGTTCACTTGTGCTTCAGCCGATCCAGTGGCTGATGCCTCCAGACAGAAGCTCCCCTGAGACAGCAAGTCAGGTTTCAGACTTGGTGAGGGCACGTTGGCACGATCTGTAAAGCTCCGAATCAGCGCAGGCTGGACTTTGACATCTGGGGAGTCACGTTTAGAGAAGATACTCAGAGCTTCTCCCAGCTTAACCTACCCCCCCTTTCCTCCTTGTGGAGAGGCAGGAACAGATCTGTAGCATTACAAAACAGGCTATTGCACACTGGAGCTGATTGTTTAAGACAGTCCTAAGAAGCTCGTAATTCAAGTGAAATTTCAGCGCTTCTCACTTCAGCGAGACAACCTTAAGGAACATTACCCTGAGAGCATGAATCAACACGAGCCAGCTGACACGAATTTCACATCTCTTACATCTCGAAAGGCCAGCTGCTGTTGTAATGCAGCAGGCACAATGGGTTATTTAACCCCAGAGCAGCAGAGTGCCATGCTCTGGGAGCACCACACAAACCCTGCCCACCTCTCATGCTGCTCTGGGTGTGGAATCTGTTTTACAATATCACCCAAAGCCTCATCGTGTTCTTCTTCTCCTCTCTCATTCACTCGATATCACAGGTGAGATAAGAGCAAGGAAATTAAACCGAGCCTATTTCTGTGACATGATCTCACCTCATAACACCAAAGCATATCTCAGGACAAGCACCAGTGGAGCTTTTAATGCTGTTTTTTGGTCAATATTTTGGGGTATGTGATGATTCTTGCTGTTCTTTTTCTTTCACTGGTCCGTTCTGCTCAGCACTCTTGCAGGTTTTCACAGGTTGGTAAATCTGCTTAGTACAGATGCACTTTAGGTAACCCACTTCTTCCCTTTTTACTAATACAATAAGGAAGACTCATACTACTCAAAGCTATAAAATTCCTTTTAATGACACCGATGTGATTAAATCCACAGGAGGTTGTGGAGCCTCCCTCTCTGGAGACATTCCAAACCCACCTGGATGTGTCCCTGTGTCACCTGCTCTGCATGCCTCAGCAGGGGGGTTGGACTGGATGATCTCCAGAGGTCACTCCCAACCCCAACTGTTCTGGGATTCTGTGAAATCCCACACAGCTCCTAGCAGCTGGAATTCTGGTATTTCCATGAACTCTGTATCTGCCATTAATCAGCAGATGGTTGGTTCAGACACAACCCCAAGTGCTGCATATTTTTACATCGTGGAATGACAGCAAAGTCACCGATAGAAAGAACACCCATCAGCTGGGACATCCGAAATAAAACCAGACTGATAAATAACATTCTGTAAGACGCGAGGGAAAACACAGACCTAGACCAGCAATTCTCCTCCTGACATCTGTGTACCCTGGACCACTTATAAATGAAGTGTCCTGTTGGTAGGCTGACTTTAAATGAGTATAAATGACTATAAAACATACACAGCTCAGCTGGAGAACACCAGAAATCCACAAACCTGAGAGCATTGAAAAAGCAACCATTGAGGCGTTTAGCCGGAGAAAAACACGACGGCAAAAGGCTGCTGGCACTGCGGCAATGTTTGCACACTGGCTTTGCTCCCCGAGCCGGGAGTGCAACGGAGACCACGCTGCTCCAGCATCTCCAGGAGCCGGGAATCGCTCCCTCCGCACGGGGAGCGGAGCGGCTCTCCCGGCTGGAAAACAAGCCCCGGGCGGGCAGCAGTGCCAGGATCCGAGATGAGGAATCATTTTCCGCACAGCACGAGGAGAGGAGCCCGAGGAAAACAAACTTCGGGAGCCGCGGGCAGGCCCTTTCCCCCAGCCTGGCTTTATTTCAGCAGGGGTGGAATAGGAATATCCCCGAGCCCCCCGGCACTGCCCAGCGAGACAGAGCCGGCACCGCTCCCCGGTGCTGCCCAGTGGCAGAACGGCCCGGGAGAAGCGCCGGTACAGCCCCGGTACCGCCGGTACCGGGCCGGGGGCTGTGCCCGTGCGGCAGCGCCCGTGAGCACCGCCCGGCAAAGTTCGGGCGAATCCGGGGCACGACCCGGGGGATGAAGCCGGGGATGATCCGGGGGACGAACCGGGCGATGGTTCGGGGATGGTCCGGGGGTGCAGCCGGACGCGGCTCCCCCGCCCGCCGCAGGCCCCGGCCCGCAGCGCCCGCCCCGGGGTCCCCCCCGCCGTTCCCCCCGGCGCGGTGCCGGCGCTCACCTCCGGTACCGTCCGAGTTCTCGTTGAGGCTGCCCGAGGAGTCGTGGTGGGAGCCCACACACCCGCCCATGGGGCCCGCAGACCCGCCGCCGAGCCGCCCCCCGCCCCCCTCCCCTGCACCGAGCTCCGCCGCCGGCCGGGCAGGCGCGATGGCTCCGGAGCCGCCTCCCCGCTGCCAACACCGCCCCCGGGGCGCGGCCTCGGCCCGCCCGGCCCCGCACGGCGCGGCACCGCCCACGGCACCGGGAACGGGAATGGGAATGGGACCGGGGATGGGAACGGGGATGGGAATAGGAATGGGAATGGAACCGGGGATGGGAACGGGAACGGGAACGGCACCGGGAATGGGAACGGGAACGGGAATGGGAACGGGAACGGTACCGGGAATGGGAACGGGAACGGGAATGGGAACGGCACCGGGACCGGCACCGGCACCAGCACCGAGAATGGCACCGGGACTGGCACCGGCACCGCCTCCGGTACTGGGAACGGCACCGGGACCGGGACTAGGAACGGCACCGGGACTGGAACCGGAACTGGCGCTGCCTCCGGGACTGGGAACAGCACCGCGACCGCCCCGACACCGGAACTGGGAACGGGACCGGGACTGGCACCGGCACCGAGACCGTCCCGGGACCGGGACTGGGAACGGCACCGCCCACGGGACCGAGACTGGCACCGGGACAGCCCTGACACCGGCACCGGCACCGGGTCCAGGACCGCCCCGACACCGGGACCAGCACAGGGACCTCCCCGATACCGGCACCGAGACTGGGACCGGCACCGCCTCCGGCACCGGGACTTGGAATGGGACCGACACCGGCACAGAGAGTGATTCCGGCATCGTCTCCGGTCCGCGGAACCGCCCCCGCACCGGGACTGGAACCGACACTGGCACCGATACCGGGACCGGCACCGCCTCCGACACCGGGACCGCACCGGCACCGGGATTGCGACCGATACCGGCACTGGCCCTGAGACCGGCACCGAGACTGGAACCGGCACCGGCATCGATACCGGGTCCAGGACCGAGACCGCCCCGGCACAGGGACCACTCCGACACCGGCACCGGGACCACCCCGGCACCGGCACCGGGATGCGGGGCTGTCCCCACGCCCCAGCCCCGCAGGGTCCCCGCGGCCGTGGGTGCCGGGCTGTGTTTATTTATTTATTCCCTGCTCTGCTCTGGCCCATCTGGAGCGTTCAGGGATGGAGCTCTGAGCATCCCTGGCTAGTGAAAGGTCCCTGCCCGTGGAACAAGAAGATCCACAAGGTCCCTCCCAACCCAAACCGTTCTGTAATTCCATGGTTTGTCTCTGCACACGAAAAGAAAATCCACACTCAGATAAATCCCTGGTCCACTACCCAGCCACCCACCCCTGTGTTATCAGTTTGAAATAAAAACTAAGCAAACTCGGTGTTTTTTGGTCCATCTGACTGAGCAGGCTTCAGCTCTCTGAGAAGAAAAGTTCACCTTTTGTGCTCTTAATGCCCAGCTGAGTTATCTCATTTCAGCAGCAATCCCGCCCTGGGTTGGGGAATTACAGTTCCTACACTATCAGATGCACTGGAGCACCTCGGAATAATCAGCAGTAAGTCAGAACACTGAAAAATGGGAGCAGACAGTGCAAAAAATAAAGTCTGGTAACAGACTGTGCTCTGGGTTCCCCACACGCTCTGCTATACACGGCAGCTTCATGTTCTCGTACACAGAGCAGCACAAAACAAAACTCAAGCTGAGCATATTTTTCCTCCATAAAGATGACATTGCAAATGTGGGTTTTTTTGGAATTAAAATAGCATAGCTGTTCATAAAGTTTCTAGTCACCACAGTGAAAAGAGCTGATGGACAAAGGCGTTTTTCTGCCATTAATTTCTCTACGTAATCTTCATACCAAAAAGCCCAGCCAGCCTTTGGGAGGGCTCTTGTGTTGATAATTAAAATCCCAAACGTATGAGATAAGCTGAGTGCCAAATGCCAAGCACTTTGTCATGTGAGAACAAAAAGGCACAGAGCTCAGCTGCTTTTATTGGGTCCAAATGGGAAGGTCAGGCCTGGTAAGAAAGTCTAAAGAACAATTATTAGAGTCTGAGCACATGGCCACTAATTACAACAAAAGCAAAAATTCCTTGTCTGTGCAGACATTTAAACCAGATCAAGGAGCCACACAGAGCTCAGTTGGGTTTTTCTTCAGATTTTATCTGAGGGCCACGTGGGAGTTTGCCCATATATACACTGTATAATCAAAGATATTAGAGAATCACAAAACCAGGTTGGAAAAGAGCTCCAAGACCCTGGAGTGCCACCTGTGCCTGATGCCCACCTTGTCCCCAGCCCAGAGCCCTGAGTGCCACCTCCAGGGATGGGCACTCCAAACCTCCCTGGGCATCCCATTCCCTGAGATATGTCAGGCTGGGGTGGGGAGGGATTGAATATTATTTATTCAAAACTGCAAGGAATTTGGAAGGCAGTTGCAAATTTTCCTAGAAGTAGGTGTTGATGTGAATATTTTATCATCAGAACATGTAACTCTGCATGGAAATCATGGATTGTGGGGATGGATTCTCCCTCTGGATATTTGCTGCCCAGTGAGATCTCCAAACTGGTGGAAATTCAAGTGACTCTGTTCCATAACAGGGTGGCTGCAGGACTGTGAGTTGGTGTGGGAAAGTCTGTCCCACCAGGCAGCACTGGAGCCTTGGAAAAACACCAAAAACACCCCAGAGTTTGTTATTCTGCTGTTTGGGACTGAACTCTGTCACTGGTACCTCGTTGTTCTCTCACACAGGGTATGGAGCACATGGAAATGTGTTTGTGTGCATAGAAACACCCAGGATGGGCCAAAGTGAATATTTACAGCCTGACCCCACGGATCAGGATGTGCTTGCAATGTACTAATAAAGTACTGGAAAAAACCCCATTTTTTTTTTTCTGAATGAATTATTTATTTTGAAGGTTATTCCTTCTCAAAATAAGTTTCCCTGAGCTTTGCAATCAGAGTTTTTGCACTTCAGTCTCAGCTCTGCTCCTACACTGTGGCCTTGGAAGAGTCAGTAACCTTGGCTGCTGTGTTTCTATCAGAAAATCAGTGTTTGTCTGCACATCTCGTGGGGGTATGGCCAGGATTAATTAATTCCTGCTCCTTATGTCTTTCTAACTGCCTGCAATGCGTGGGATGCAAAACATTGATGATCAAAAGTGACTTTTCACCATTCAAAGGTGTCGTGGATTGACTGTTCCATGGAGGTAGCACTGCCCTATGATTCTCTGTGTCTAGGGAGCTCTCTAATATCATATCAGCTATGCCAGGGAAAAACAAAAAAAAAAAACCAGCCAAGGTGATCAAAGGGCTGGAGCAGCTCTGCTGGGAGGGAAGGCGGGGAGAGCTGGGATCGTTCACCTGGACAGGAGAATTTTGGGGTGACAAAATTGTGACCTCAGTGCCTGAAGGAGCTGCAGGGAAGATGGAGAGAGAAAATTTCCAAGGGATGGAGCAGGCAACGGATTTAAACTGACAGAGACTGGGGTTAGATGGGATATTGGAAAGAATATTTCCAATGTGAGGGTGGTGAGAAGGTGCCCAGAGCAGCTGTGGATCCCTGGCAGTGCCCAAGGCCAGGCTGGAGCCCCCTGGGACAGTGGAACGTGTCCCTGCCTGTGCCAAAGGGATTGGAACTGGCTGATCTTTAAAGTCCCTCCCAACCCATTCCATGGCTCTGTGATTGTCAGGTTATTTCCCATATAATCCTAGCTAGTAAAATATTTTCTGCACTTCTCCAGTTTTTCTCTCCAGCTGGGCTCTGGCTGTTTGCTCAGTCAGTGGTGGTGGGTTTTGCCATCACATGATGATCCAGAGTGATCAATCCCTGTTCTCTGATGATTCAGCTCTGTGTGGGAACAGGGATGAGATGCTGACAAATTGCATCAGCACTGAAACTCCTCTCTCAGGAATCCACATTTTGATTTTTTAGCAGCGCTGCCCAGGACAGCACTATCCAAGTATTCACATTTTAAGTGAAAGTCTTCCCAGATTTCTGCCATCCTGCTCTTGACAGATGGGAGAGGGAGACATGGCTGATGAGGTTATCAACCAAAGATCCCACAGGAATCAGGAGCAGGAAAGAACTGTGGAGTCCAACTGCTCATTTTCCTCCTCAGAGAGTCTGCAGAGATTCAGCAAGTTGCTATTTTCAGATTTACTTCCCCGTGGCTGTTCCTGAAAGCTGCTGAGGCTGTAGCTTCATTTTCACAGGCTGGAGGTTTCCCTGCACAGCATTTCTGGTTTTGATGTGGTTTTTAGGAATGCTGGCTCCCATCCCAAACTTTCCACCAGCAACTTTTAGGCTGATTCCAATCCCATCTAATCCATCCCTTCCCAAAGTGACTGGTGGCAACCTCCACCACCCAGAGACAGCAAAGCTGTGTCAAAATGATGTGAAACCAGGCGGGGTTTGCTTTCCTGGAATGACCAAGGGAAGGAAAAAAAATGCACAGAGGAATTCCTGTGGCTGAGGAAGCCCAGGAGGCAGCAGGACAGGAATGAGCACAGGGAGGGCTCTGTGTGTGTCCTCCAGGAGCACAAACCCCACTCCTAAAGCCTCGGCACACAGCTCTGCTGCAGGAAATGCCAGGATGGGAAGCTGGAGCTCCTGAGGGAATTTCCATCCTTGGATTGCTTGGGGTTCTTTATCTCTCCCTCTGTAACAGAAGGAAAAGTCATGATTCCACTTGCTTTAAATGTTTCTGCAAATCTCTGAAGTTTTGATTTGAATTTCTGGAGAAAAGGGGTCACTGAAAAGGCTAAAAATCACTTTTTAACGTGCAGCATCAGCAGTGATGGTAGGAATTTCTGGGTTCCACTGCAAGAACCAAGCTGGATGGGGCTTGGAGCACCCCGGGCTAGTGGAAGGTGTCCCTGCCCATGGCAGGGGGGGCAATGAGATGATTTTTAAAGTCCCTTCCAACCCAAACCATTCCATGATTCTATAATTTATTGCTTTGTCACATCAGGCAGGTTTGGCTAACCAGAATATACATTAAAAAAAAAAAAAAAAGAAAAAAGAAAACCTTGACTGCTAAAGCAACAAAAGTGAAACGCTGCTTCCCTCCTGTGGTGACCTC